TTGGCCTGGGGATGGGGAAGCAGCAGGGCCTCTGCGGGCTGGATCAACCCACTTGGCTGGCTGGATCCAGCCTGTGGAGGCCCTTTTGCCCACCCTGAGCTACAATTTTCTGCTGCTTTCAGTTGAAGAAAGGAACTGCACTGCAGCTGCTTTATTTGAGTGCCACTAGAGTTGAGTAGAGGGAAGCTGTAGCTTATATGGTTTGAACTCTATGTTAGATGTGGCCTGATGTGCCAAGATTGATTTCAGGCTTGTTATATTTTGACTGTCCTCTGCTTGAATGCTTGGACAGAGGATCTGTCATTATCTGATTAGGATGGGATTGGGGAAGAGTAAATGAAAATGGCTTAATCAGAGTTATGATCTCAGACTTGCTCTGAGATGCTGCTAAACTCTTAGCTTTCTTGTGCCCCTCCCCCTCTCCCCGATCTTGTTCTTAATTTGGCTCTTCCCTGTGTGCCACAGAATTAAAATAGTTTGAAATACTGTCTGGCACATAGTTCGTTTCCATCCTTTTTTTGGTATGCACTCTGGGAGCCTGTGTCTTTTGCTAATTACTTCATTATGACATTAGCACTTCAGTATGCTCCTAGAAAATATTTAGAGAACAAGAAATCTTGTTTGTTATCTTATCTGTGTTAATTCTGCTAATAGGGACAAGAAATCGGAATGCAGCAGGTTTTTGTTATTCATCGTAAAGCAATGCACTGAAAATCTAATTATAGGCACTTATTTGTGTGATCTTTTGTGTAAAACTGCTAAAAATAAATAAAGGTGATAACCCCTTTGATAATCCCTTGTCTTTTTAGTATCTCCAGGGCTCTCAGTTTCCCTATGTGATTTCAGACACAGTGATCCAAAATATCAATGATCTTGCCCCTAAAAAAGCTTTTCTCAGCCAATTGAGGCCTATAAGGCTTCACCAATTTCCCTACTTGACCAAATATAACTGGTTAGGAGGGACTGTATTACACATAGATGTGATACACTTCCATTCTTCCTGCACCTCAGCTAACTTCTCTGCAGAATCATAGGGCAGAGCTCAGTCTTTTATGAGACTTTAACAAATAATAGAACGACATGCAGTTCAATCACTATGAGAGAGCAATTCAGTTTCATACTAGAATATAGAAATAGTTGCTTCGGAAAACATTTCCTTAACAGCTATTTCACTGTATCTCTGCTAGGGTTTCTCTCGGTTTTCCCCAGCTGGTTGCTGTAACATATCTTTTAGTGCAAGGAGTACCTTAGCTCATACACATGCACGCTCCCTTCCAATCTCTTCACAGAGATGTGTAGCACCACAAGGATCTGTGTGTCACCTGGACACAACATCGACAGAACTCAGCAGTTTTGTCGACAGCGGTAAACCTCAGTTCTGTCGACAGAAGGCGTTATTGCATCTACACTGCCCTTTGTGTCCACACTGTCATGTCGACAAAGCGGCTTTGTCGACAGATCTGGATGTAGTCTAGATGCTCTTTGTCGACAGAAGCTTTGTCAACAGTATCTGTCGACAAAACTTCTGTCGACAAAAGCCTGTAGTCTAGACGTACCCTAAAAGTCCAGCATGAATTCTGGGCATGTACTTGACTTATAATTTCATCAGAGTTCAGTTTATGAAAAGATCTAGCTAAGCATAGGCATCCGATATGTAAAGCGGGGGAAAACAATGTCTTCCCAAAACACCAGGCATGGCCCTGCCTACACTCCGCTCCCAGAAAGCCTGCTATAGACCTTCTGGGACTGAGTATTGCTGCCCCCAGTACCTGCCCTCCTGGTGCTCCTGGGCTGGAAAAACATGGCTGGGCCAGGCCACACAGCACACCCTCTTCTAAGGCTGGGGAGCCTGGGGTCTTACCACAGCAATGCCACATGCTCTCGGACCACCTCCAGGGCTGGGGCCATGCTGCGCAGCGCACACCCTTTGACCTCCTCTGGGGCTGTGGAGGCTGGGACTAGCATGTGGGGATAGAAATGGTGTGCCTGGCCTCTGTTTGTCAGAGGCTGGATATGAATGGCATGAGACAAATTGCTTGATCATTGTCTTCGGTCCACCCCTTCTGGGGCACCTGGTGCTGGCCACTGTTGGCAGACAGGCTACTGGGCTAGATGGACCTTTGGTCTGACCGTTCTTATGCGCCTACCTGTTCCCCTTCTCTCCCTATGGTAGGGAGGACCCTGCCTCCTCGTGTGGGCGGGGAAGGAGCAGGGCCTCAGAAGAAGGGATAGGGCTGGTGGTGGGGCTAGGGACTTACTTCCCCGAGCCGTGCCTTCACCAACCGTCCATGTAGCTAAGTATTACTGTGAGAGCCTATTATTCACAGGGAACAAACAATTCAAAGTGGAAAATTGCCTAAATAACCATTGCCCCTAGCTTTTATATTTTCAACAAAGTAGCTAGGTCTATTTTAACATGGTTTAGAATGATTAATACCAATTAATATTTTCAACAGAGGGAAATCCAGCCAGGTCAACAGTGGATCACTGTTCCCAGACTATTGGAGTTGTGGGAAGGGGTGTGGACAACAAACTGCTTTGTGTCAACTTAGTTTTCATGTGTCTACACTAAAATTTTTCTCCCACTTATGTAAGGCCATATCCTCTACTTGCAGGAAGATCGACACTTTGGCACTCGATCTTCTGGCATTCCATTTAGTAGGTCTAGTAAAGACCCGCTAAATCGAACATTGAATGCACCCCCCATCAGCATTGGTACTCCTAGCTGTCACCAAGAGTAAAGGAAGTCAATGGGAGCTTTTTTCCCACTGACCTCTTACTATGAAGATGATGTCAAGCTCAGCTGGTGTTGACTCCAGCTATGTTATTTATGTAGTTGGAGTTGTGTACCGTCAGCCGACTTTCTGGGTGTAGAATAGATCTGACCTAAGAGTCCTGTTACAGCAACACAGTAATACCATCTCCCTTGAGGGACCTTCAGCCAGGGTGGATGTACTGAGATCAATAAAGTGCAAGTATAGACACTGTGTTACTTATCTTGATCCTGTCAGTCCTACAGCTGTTGCCCTGTTGCAATGCCAATCTCTAAATGCTCTAATCACAATTGTGAACGCCACAGCTCAGGGGTCACAGAGACAGGAGACAACCCATATGCCCCCCCTTAAAGGCCCAGATATATTTGTAATGCATTTTTCTGATTACCCTGCTAGGCGAGACACCCATCGCTCAGGGGAGCGCCGGGAGAGCAGAGTGCTATAATGTTCATGATGGTTCCTATCTATAATGGATCAGTCAAACTGATCCAGAACACCACCATGTATGTTGTTGCAAGCTTTCTTATGTCTGTACGAGTTTATTAATTACAGTAGCTTTCGGTAACATTTCTATGCTCGGATTTTGGTCAGATTTTAGTTTCCCAGTAAGACTTGTTAGTAACGATTTCCTTCAAAAGTGAATAGTATTTTTAAATGCTATCTGATTGACAGTTTTAGAGTGACATTTGTGTACTCTGCTCAGCCCTGAAGGGATTAAGGCAGGGGTGGGCAATAAAACAGTGGCGGTTCACCAGGGTTAGCCCCTGGTGGGCCACTACCACTATATTTACCTTTGCTTCTGCAGGTGTGAGCAATTGCAGCTCCCATTGGCTACGGTGTCCCTGTCCACATCCCTTCCCACAACTCCGATGGGCTGGTAATAGTGATCCACTGTTATGCATATAAGAAGCACATGGGATCTTTTTCAGGGGAAAAGACAATGTGTTGCGTTTATTGAAAATACAAAAAGAAAAGAGCATATGCATTCACACACACACACACACACACACACACAGAGGTCCTGCAGATGGTGCATAGTTACCAGTCTGTCGTGACTTAAGTTAGTCTTACTGGCCAGGCAAGACTGACTTGAATGAGGAGTCGGGTTCTTATCAACCGTGATTCAAGACACATCTGAGACTTGGCTTGCACCACTGAACCAAGAGTTCTAATGGCAAGATGTTCCCTTTTTATACATGTCAGTTTCCATGGGAGTCTGTGGGTTTTTAGTGTCATGCTCAGTCCTCCATCCTTAAAAGATGTTAATCGGTACTTTCCAGAGTTAACCTTTGATGACAATTGTCAGGCTTCCCATCACTGTCTCTCACTTGTGGTGGTCTCTGTCTGTGTCCAGGGTTCTGTCAATGCTGCTAGTTCAGTTCAGCCCCAGACACAATGTCTGTTTCCTGGTTATCTTCAAGATTCCCATTTCTTCTTGACAACCTGGGCATTTGTGACGGCTTTCACATACATCCTCCACTCACACCAAATAATTGTACAGAATTTCAGACAAGATTAATAGCTACTAAAGGAACAGTAGAAAGAAAGGAATCTTGCACAACATCTGAAGAAGTGGGTTGTGCCCATGAAAGCTCATGATACCATCTACATGTTTTGTTAGTCTTTAAGGTGCTGCAAGACTATTTGTTGTTTTTTAAGTTTTTCCAGTTACAGACTAACTTGGCTACCCCTCTGAAGCTTTTGCACGGCTTAGTTTGTAATGCTAACAGGAAGCAAGGCCTTACAGTAAACATGATCTAATTAAGAGAAATAGGGTGAAATAGAAGCATACAGAACTTAAAAGCAAGTCATTGCACATCAGATCATTATGCATCATACTTATCGTCTTATACCCAATACTAAAATATACATTTTTGCTATACCATGGCCAATGGGAGCTGCAATCACCCTTACCTGCAGAGGTGCAGGTAAATATAGCGGCAGTGGTGCCCCAGAGGCTAACGCTGGGAAATCAGATCCGGCCCATAGGCTGTTCATTGCCCATGCCTGAATCAAGGCAATTGAGTGATGGTGGCAGCCATATATAAATTAATGCAAATCTGTCCAAATTTCTTCTATAGACAGATTCGGAACTACTAGGTGACATCCATGAGATTAACCACAGTACTATGTAACTTCTGTGCAATCGCTACTTAACCATGTTTTGTTTGGAACTCAGAAGTCCCATTTGTCTTCTATTAAAACACGATTTTTCTTTCTCCACAGGTGACTATTAAGGCAAAATGTCACAGAAAAGTCAGCTAAGTGATGATGAGAAGTTCCTCTTTGTAGACAAAAACTTCATTAACAGCCCACTTGCTCAGGCAGACTGGTCAGCGAAAAGACTGGTATGGGTCCCATCAGAAAAGCAAGGATTTGAAGCAGCTAGTATCAAGGAAGAGAAAGGAGATGAGGTTATTGTCGAGCTGGCAGAAAATGGAAAGAAAATCACAATCGGCAAGGATGACATCCAGAAGATGAACCCTCCAAAATTCTCCAAAGTGGAAGACATGGCAGAGCTGACTTGCCTTAATGAAGCTTCAGTGCTGCACAATCTAAGGGAGAGATACTTCTCGGGTCTAATTTATGTAAGTAAACTCAGGCTCATTGCTGTTCCACACTGATGTGTTTATTGAGTCCTCTCCTGAAACTGACACACCTTAGCCAGTGCAGAGATTCTAGGCTTCTAAACAGTGAGGGCATCTCTGGATTGTGCCTTTCCTCCTGATGCTTCCCCATGAAAAATTTCCCCCATTCTCTATTTTCCCCTTTGATTTCCTTGTATTGTCTACATTTCCCACTGTTTGGCTTCTCTGAGTGGCTTTTTTGCACACTGGCTTAAGGGAGGGTCCCAAGGCTGGTGAATTCTCCAAGAACAGTGGCAACTTTGGAGGTTTTGCTTAGACGATCAAACAAAGCCTCCATCTTGCTCCTATTGAAATCAGTAGGAGTGATTGCCTTTGACTTCAGTGGGAGCATGAGCAAGTTCCCACGCTGAGTGTTTTAGGCCTAATTTCCCCTCCTGCTCTCCAACTTCCCCTCTAAAAAAACCTACCACCACCAAAACACCAATCTCACCTATCGGGCCTAACTCTGCAGTCCTTGCTCAGGCAATATTCCCATTGAAATCCGTGCAATTGCCAGGGTATGCGTCAGCACACAGGCTCCAGTTCAGCTGGCTACTTCAGCACGTGGTTAAATTTAAACACACAAAGTCCCACTGGAAATCAAGTAGGACCAGGTCTGCTGGCACGGGGAGCAAAGAAGGCAGTTGCCCCGGAGGATGGTGACTCAAAGGGGCTCAGGGCTCTGGCTGCTGCCACTGTAGCAGCGGTAATGGCTGGAGTTCTGGGCCCCTTTGAATTACTGCCAAAGTACCAGGGTACACAGCTCTGACAGCTGGAAGGGGTCCAGTGCTGTGGTCCGGGTGATGCTGAGGGCTGGCTGGCCCAGCCCTGCCCTTTCTGCCTGATACCCTGCTCCTTCTGGGGGGACAGAGCCATCCCCACACCTTGCCCTAGACCCCACGGTGACTGTTGGCCCTGCTGAGTAGAACTACTCATGTGCGTAATTGCTCTGACCATAATTCCATTCAGTCTATTCCACTCCTCTCTAAAATATTTCCCTTTTTGTTCAAATTACTGATCAAAATGATTTTGAATTCTCTGGACATTCATGTGCATTGGTCTTGCACAGCCAAAGTATTTCCATCTGCTGATCCACACAGATGTATTTTATTATTACCAAATCCTATAATTAACTGTAATGGCATCTATCCAATTGTAGAACAAGAGACTCCATGATGTTCTGTAAGGACATCACCATTGCTGTTGTTTTTACATGGAAGACAGATATTGCAGGGATGGGCAGCAGTATAACACCTCAAGATGGATAAATTGTGCTGCTTTGTTATGCATGACCAGGGGTTAGATGGAAATATGGCACTGAGCTGACACACTTTTACTGTTGCTTTCATAGCTTTCTCATTAATACCATGAAAATTCTGAAATTTGAAGGAAGGAAATCTGGCAGAAAATTAAGATATGCTATGTTACAAAGAGACTTATTAATCACCAGATAAACTCTTCTAAAAGGTGTAAACTCTGGTGCTTTTTGGTTGGGAGCTTAATGAATTTAGCAAAATCGAAATCTCTGAAAAGTTCACTATTTCAAGTTTCAGTGTTTGATAATTATTAGGTTCTACTCTGAGAGAGAGTCATGTTTAATGTTTTGTGAAAGCATCATTGAAGGAATACCATCAATCTGGAAATCACACTTCTGTCTGAAAGGGTCCGTCTACACAGCACTCTAATCTCAAAATAAGGTATGCAAGTTGCGCTATGCAAATTGCAAATTCTATTTTGATTGTATTTTGAAATAGTGCATTATTTCGAGACATCCCTCAACCCTCATGGATTGAGGATCACAGGGATGCTGAAATAGTGCACCTGTTATTTAAAAAAGAAATTGAAATAACAGACGCGTTTAAAAGACATGGGGTACCTGCGGTATCCTGAAATAGCCCCACTGTCTAGACATACTCAAAATGTTTTGCTGCTGTAACAAACAACACCTAACTTAACTGTTAGTTAAAGAAATTAGAGAGGGAAAGTGTATCTTTTTTGTGTGTTTACTTTGCTGATTTGACAACACTTGTGAATAGTCATTTCTACTCTTTCTCTTTGGGGTACAGCTACACTGTGGGGGGGGGGGGGTTGGAAGAAGGCATGCAAATTGTACTTGCATTTGCATATCTTCTTCCGATTCTTTTTCCAGAAGAGGCTTTTCCAATATTTCGCCCATATACACAGGACCAAATGTCAGAAAAACCCTCTCTTTCAGAAGCCCCTGTACACCTCGTTGTATGAGGAATAAGGGGGCTACCAAAAGAGGGTTTTTTCCTGACATTTAGCCTGGCTACACAGGGCCAAATATCAGAAAAGCCTCTTCCGGAAGAAGATATGCAAATGTGAGCTCAATTTGCATCCATTCTTCCAACCCCCCTCTCCCCCACCCGCCTTCCCCCTCCTTTCCCAGTGTAGCCTTCCCCATATATAGTTATTCACTTTCCCTCATGGGAGTTTCATGTAACAAAAGAGAAGAGAAACACATTTTTTAAAATAGGAAAATGGGGTTTTAAAAATCATGAAAATTGACAGAGGGACATGAGAACAAGCACAGTATCTGAAAAAAACTTTTAAACTTGCTCATCTAACTGGATTTCAAGATGATGGTGTTACTTTAACACACATAAATTAATATACATAATTTGCAGTACAATGGCTCACTATTTCTTATAGCTTCCATCTCTGTTCTGTGCTACAAAACTGCTCATCCTGACTCAAGCATTTAATACTTGTGAACATTTGTTATAGTTCAGAAAAGCCAAACTATACAGTTCAGAGCTCCTAGCTTCATCCTCATTCATTCCTAACTAACAATTCTCTCCTCACTTTTAGTCATGCAATGCCTGCATTGACTTCTTTGGAACACCAAGACATAACAGAGATTTTTAATTTACATTGTTCTAAAATCTTTCCTTGAAACACATCTCTAGTAAAATGTGCACTCTTCATTTTGCCATAGGCAAGGGTAATGCAAATAGAAAATTCAAATTACCTGCTCTGTCCATTTATATTATGTTGCCCTTTTTAATAAACATCCAACAACAAAATTGGACAAGAATGATAAAAGCTTCCTGCAAATAAGCTTTGAGGAAAAGATTAAGATATGTTTTTTATAGTGCTTACTAAATGTATGCAAAATGGGGATATTATCAGAGGACAAACCATCTATCCATGTAGAACCTGCATTTAAGCCAAGGATCCTGTTGACTTTGCCATTATCACCTACTGGCAACATCTTACTTAAGAAAATATGATTTCAGAACTCCCAAACCTAAACTCTAAGCATGTACAAAACTAGTGCTCAGTGAAAATGGCTCTTTTCTTTCCATATGGTTTCCTTGGGTTAGGCTAAGGCATAAGAAGAAGATAAAACCTTTACCCTCCCTTTCACAGTAGCAGATACTCCTAGAGTGGCTATTTTCTGGAAAAACTCCAAGACTATTTTAGTGCATCATGGAAAATTCAGTAAGAAAGAAGGATAAAAATTGTCCTTCCTCTTGATAACATGTTTCATGTTGCTCAGAAAAAAATAGAATCTGCCTTCTAAACAACTGAGTTCCACACAGTTGTAGACCAAAAGATAACACTAAACACAACTGTCAGTAAAATGTTTCATTTTTATTTAGAGTAACAGGTGACAATGGGACTCCAATGGGAGCGGGAATAGGCCGTTTATTTAGAGAGATAGAGTAACACTACTAAATGACTCCCAGGAAACATACACCCAATTTTTGTCTTAAAGTTCAGACAGTTAGTATAAAATATAGGAAATGTTTAGACTAGAATTATCCTATGACGTCTTCCTTAAACATTTTCTATCCTAGTAACATAAAACAAAAGACACATAAACACAATCTATGAATATAGGTAAAATTTTAGGATAAAATTCCACTGTCTGATCTACATACCGGATGCCAGTGTCTTAGGTGGTGTAAATCAGCATAGCTTATTTGAATTCAGTGAAGTTATGTCAGTCTAACTTGTTGTGAACCTGACTTTGGATTTACACTCTACTGTTTGACTCTCACTTCATGGCTGGAGATCGATGGTGGTGGGAGATTTGCTCATATAGTCAGAACACTATAGTGAAGGTTAGACCCATTGTTCAAATTGGAAGTCTTTAAAGTCCTACTGGTTGTGTCCTTCAGTGTTGCCTGTGAGGTCAGGGCCTTGCAAGGTGAGCAGATACAAAGTTTCCTGAGCCTGGCTGTATCAGATTAGTACAGGGCATCCCGCTATAAGTTGCCCCAGTATACATCCGTTTCGCACTAAAGTTGTTGAATGCTCGTAGGAACTGATCCATTATAAGTCCTCCTGCTCTTAAGTTGTGCAAACAAACAAACAAACAAACACCAATTTGTGCAAATGGAAGTCAGGCGCTGAAAATTCCCTGCTTTAAGTTGTTTTGCTAGAAGTCCAAGTTTTTTTTAACGTAACTTGGACTTATAGAGAGGATGGCCTGTTTTTGTCTTTCTGAGGCTAAAGTAGGAGAGTTGTAACTAGGTTACCTAATTCCAGTAAGTGCCTGTCCATCAGCTGTGGCTGAGGGATGTTCACCTCCTGGGGGAAGCAAGGGTAACATCTGCACTTTCTAAGAGCAGGAGTTTTAACTTACAGCCTATACTTGGTAGAGTCCCATCAGTGGAAGTTGCCCAGAAGATGCACTGAATCAATACATATCCAAGGAGCATGGCCCTGCCTCCATCCCTGGATGGTCCAACCTATTTTCTGGGCTGTGCCTGTTGGCTCCAGATCCTTTGTGGACTGACATGTGGATGACTTGAGCTTCTGAAGCCTCTTGTCTGGGCAGATTATATCAGTGGGGGATGACAGCTTGATTTAACCCATTGAGAAATATCTTCTAACCATTACTTCTGACACTTTAAAGCCCCATTCAGCAAGGCACGTAAGTACATGCCTAACTCAAAGTTCATGAGCTGTCCTACTGACTCCAGTAGGAGGAGTTGCAAGCTCATAGTCAGTGATAGTCTTAAATACGTAGGTAAATTGAACCCAAAGTTAGAACTGTTCTTAAATGGGAAGCCTACATGCTTTTGTGAAGGGAGGGATGTTACATATTCAAGATAAAGCTTCCCAATTGTCCTGGCTTAAAAAATCTTAAGGGAATCAATAATCCAATCACTATGTAACCATAAGCTGTTCCTTAAAAATTCTAATTATTTTAGACATATATATAGACCTTCAACATTGGTTATATGAGACTAAGGGTATGTCTACACTACAGAGTTTTATCAGAAAAACAGCTGTTTTTCCTACAAAACTTGAGGAATGTCCACACTGTAATTGCATTCTTCTGCAAGAAAATTGAAAGAACAGAGGGGTTTTTCTGGCATTGGTAATCCTCTAATTCTATGAGAAAGAAGCCTTTTTGCGAAAGAGCTCTAGCAAAAAGGCATGTGTGGACAGGGAAGAGGGAGTTCTTTCAAAAGAAGAGGAAAGAGGAAAAAGCACAGGTGCCCTGGTGGCCATTCCATCTATTGCAATCACAGCTTAGATGCGAGAGAGCGTCCATTCAGTCTGGAAGCTCTCTTTCAGAAAAGCAGATTGCTTTTTCAATGCACTTTTGCAGTGTGGACACTCTCTTTGGGAAGAAGTTTTTTCAGAAGATCTCTTCTGTAAAAAGCGTCTTCAAAAAGAAGCCTGCACTCTAGACGTAGCCTAAGACAGATTGTTTTGAGCTGAATATTTGCCCCGTATGAAGGAAATCCCATTGTCCACTTAGCTCTTCTTCCCCCCTTGCCAGTATACGGCATCATTTCAGAATATGTGGAGTTGGGATTTCTATTCAAGACTCCAATGCCAAAAAGAATCCAGCCTTAGTAACTAGTTACCTGCTATTGTGCCAGTTCTAGTGTTGGTACCTTGAAGAAAGTGAAGATCTTTATCATACTTCTTTTAATATCTCACATAGGAACATGCAGAGGTAGCAGCAGAGATTGCAAAGGTAGTAGAAGTGTGAGCACTGGGGTCCTTTGACTTAACCAGAATGGATCACCAGAGTGCTCCAGTGTAGAGCAAGTAACCAACCTGTTGATCAGCACCACAAACTGCTGGATGCTGTTTCTGTGTTTGCTTATACCATATAGGGTGTTCAGTCTGGGTTTGAAACTTGTGCTGTTTCCTAATATAGTCAAGAAAGGGAAATCCCTGTGCCTGTATTTCAAATGTCTGCTCAAGGACACAAGCCAGCAGATGCCTTTGCATGGTCACATATTTCAGAGGTTCTTGTGATGGCTATTGTACAGCTAGACCCATGCTCAGGCATGCCCCTAAGATCCAGGAATGGACTGATCAAATAACAGCAGCCTCCTGTGAAAGAATTCAAATGGTATATTAAAAACCCTGTCCAATAATAATTCATCTATATAAATACAATTGGAAGATGTTAAATTCTTAAACTATTTTAGTTTATATTCTACAACATAATTATTTCCTTATAATTTTCTTTTTAAAATCTAACATGAAATTTGTAATGTGAATAAATGATCTGACGTGTATATTTCTTTATTTGTGAATTGTTCAAGATCTGATCCTGAGATTAGCTAGCTAGCCAGATTAAGTCATGCAAGCAAATTTCAGCCCATGAAGTCCTTGCAAATGGCTCACTTTGACTATCTACTATTCATGATTTGTGGTACATGATTAGTCACTTTACGTCATGTGCTATTGTTTCTGCTATTGATTGGATGGCTGAAACCTTTTAAAGTAAAAGAGAATAATGAAAAGCAAATGATGAACAACAGTTAGTGTTCTTGTTTGCATGCATAACCTTACTCACATGTTAAGAATAATCATTCCCTAAACTCTTGTGTAAACAAATTCCAGAGCCAAGTAATAAAGACAAACAAGAAGCAATCTGGAAACAGACTGATTTTTTTGCAAGCTGCCTTTGCAATATTCATCCAGCTCTCCACTGTACTCATACTACCCTGCTTTAAAAAAATCCATGTCTGTTTCAGGTTTTTTCCCAATTATCCCCAGGTTTTAATTTAGGAAATTGCTATCTGGTTAAAGACAGGTTGTCACATTCTTCATCTCATTGCAATTGCTCTTATACAGACCCACAAGCATTTGCATGTACACGTGAGCACTACGAATGGTGGTATCAGCCCTGCCCATTTACCCTGTTGCAACCCCAGCAAACTCATTGAAGCTAAGGACTGTGGCAGTGTGCAAAGCATGGCGTGTCTTAGGGCTAGACATGTGAACATACTTGTAGCCACCTCTGATTATTCAATATTAACTCCGGGGTTCTCTGACTTCATTTTGCTGCAACCCCCACTGATCATAAAAATGACAACACAACCCCCAGAGGAGGGCTGAAGTCTGAGCCCATCCAAGCCTCATGTCCCTAAGAAGGAGGGGGGCAAATCACAAGTCCCTCCACTCTGGACAGGGGGAACAAAGCAGAAACCTCAGGCTGGGGGCCTGTAACCTGAGTCCTGCTACTCCAGGCTGAAGCCATTGGGCTTCAATTTCAGCCCTAGACACTGGAGCTTTAGCTTTAGTCCTAGACTCCAGCAAGTCTAAGCCAGCCCTGGTTACCCCATTGAAATGGATCAATGTTCCCTCTAATTTTTTCCATCCATGCTGAATAAATTTTGTTATGTGCACCCAGGAATGTGCAGATGTGCACCATAAGTAGAACCACATACAATCTCTGGGCACTCTGGATACTCTGGCAAGCAGGTGGCAACATCTGACTCTTTCCTGGGTGGCTGCCCAAGTGTTTGGCTTACAGGCAACTCTGGTCACGACCCACTTTGGAGTCCCAACCTACAGTTTGAGAACCACTGGATTAGGTGGACATCAGTGTTCCCTGTAAGCTGAGTGTTTGGGCTGTCACCCATGAGAGATTCAAATGTCACCCCGGTGATTAGGAGAGCGCCTGCAGCTGGCAGCAGCTGGCAGAATGTGTTTCTACTGGTGGTGCACATCCATACATGCCTCAGTGCACATACAATGTATTCCTCACACGGGTAGAAAAAACTAGTGGGAACACTAGTGTGCATGTAATTAAAAATTCTTTCCTCATCCAATGAATATGGCCGGATTTCTCACTCTGGATATCTCATTGTTGTGTTGTTTAAAAGGATGTATAGTAAAGTGATTCACCTATTAAAATATGGTGTTAAAACGGTTGATCTTCATGTTTCTCAAGCTCTTGAAACATTCTAAGTTACACCATTCTTCTCTATTTGATTTCCTTGCAGACGTATTCAGGCCTCTTCTGTGTTGTGGTGAACCCATACAAATACCTGCCCATCTATTCAGAGAAGATTATTGATATGTACAAAGGAAAGAAGAGACATGAGATGCCACCCCATATTTATGCTATTGCAGATACGGCATACAGGAGTATGTTGCAAGGTAAGGCTGGAAGAGCTCCTGGCTTAGCAATGTGATAAAACTTAGAAATCCCTGAGCAGCAACAGAAAAATGTTATAGAAGTTAATTCCAAAGAGGAAAGGAGCATGGTCGGAATAAGATTTATAGCTCTCGTCAATTACAGAAAAGTTGCAAGGGCTTTTTAAAGTTCCTGAAGAATTCTTTGGCAGGAATTGCGGTCTGTGAACATTATGTGACTCAAAAAGGAAAAACAATCCATTAACCAATCTGAGTGGAGCCATGTGGGCAGGGTTTAAAGTCAAGCAAATAGTTTTGGCAAATACGGGCATGGAAAAAGCTTTCTTTCTACTGAGGCAGATTATTCCATGGCTAGCTGCTAAGCTTTGCTGACTCCTGGGCAGCATTGCTGTGCACATACTGCAGTAGAGTGAAGCAAAGTGAACCCCAGTAACATCTTGGTGACCATTATTTGGTTGCATTCTTACGTTTTGGAGCTGAGATCCTATCTTTGACATCAAGGATGCAATCAGCCTTCTAACTATAAAGAGAATGAGCTGTAGTGGGAACAGATCAAGCCCAAAAAGTATTGGAAGAGAATTTTGAGGTGACATTCCCCCTGCTTCTGCTGTCACGGCTTTAACATCCACTCATAGAAATAAAGGATTGGATGGGGCTCCCAGAGGTCATCTACTCAACCTCCTCCTTGTTGAAGTGGGACCAAATAAAGCCAGACAATCTCTGACAGGTGTTTGTCTAACATGTTCTTAAAAACCTGCAATGATGGGGATTCCATAACCTGATGTGGAAGCCTCTTCCTAAACTTAACTGTCCCTATCGTTAGAACTGTCCATCCTGGTCTTCCTTATAACAGCCTTTAGCACAGCGGTCCCCAAACTGTGGAGTGCCCAGCCCAAAAATGTGGTGGCATGCCTAGGATTATGTGACAGGGCCCAGGACAGTCCCCATGGGGACGGGGGTGGACAGACAGAGAGTCCCTCCCCATCAGTAGCTCTGCTCTGGGCCTAGCCTTGCACCTGGCCCCATCTTCAACTCCCATCCCAGCACTTGGCCCCATCATCAGCCTCAGGACGATTCCACTCCTGGCCCCATCCCTCCCCTTCCCACAGCCTCATCCACTGGCTGCGGTTCTGCTCCAGGCTCAAGGCCGAGGCTGTGGGTAGGACCAGTAGGGGAGCCACATTTGGCTGCAGGCCTGGCTGCCGGCTCCTACCACAGCCTGGTTGCAGGTCTGCTCCAGCCCCAACCCTCCAGCTCTGCCCTTATCCTGGCCTCACACCCATTCCCAGCTCTGGCCCCAGAGTTGGCCCCCTTGTCCCAGCCACAATCCCTCTCACACCTGTGTGGACCTACTACCAGCTCCAGGAGGGCAGTGACAGGGGTAAGTGGGACACAGCCCTCAAAAGTTTGAGGACTACTGCCTTTAAACGATTTGAAGACTGTTGTCAAATCCTCCCTCAGTCTTCTTTTCTTTGAAGTTTCTAGTCCTGTTTTTGTAAACTTTCCTCATAGGTCGTATTTTCGAAATCTTCTGCTTTGTTGTGCTCTTCTGGACTCTCTCTCCAGTTTGTCCACATCATTCTTAAAGTGTGGTGCCCAAAACTGGACACACTGTTCCAGTAGAGTCCTCACCAGTGCTTGGGAAAACAAACCAGGAATATTTACAAACTAAATATAGCTGAAGTATCGATTTCTTTGTAATATCTTGTATGTGTAATAAGTTTAAGTTTATGTAAACAAAAAGTGTGATTGCTATTCAGAAATATTGAGCAGGACTCAGCAAAGCATATTGCATCATGTATAAATTGTCATTTTCCTATGCAGTCAATTTATTCAATACTCTATGAAATACTATAAGAAGAAGTATGTTCTGATGTTCTGTTAGGGTATGGCTATACTGTGTGTGTGTGGGGGGGAGGTTTTCGGAAAAGGTATGCAAATTGCACTCACATTTGCATACCTTCTTCCGTTTTTTTTTTCCGGAAGAGGCTTTTCCACCATTTGGCCCCGTCTACATGGGTCCAAATGTTGGAACCCCCCCCTTTCATAAACCTCCTTATTCCTTGTAAAACCAGGTTTATAAGGGCTTTTGAAAGAAGGGGTTTTTTTCCCAACATTTGGCCCCATGTAGACGGGGCCAAATGACAGAAAAGCCTCTTCTGAAAAAAACCCTGAGCGAGCGCTATTTGCATACCTCTTCCGAAACTTCCCCCCCCCACACACACAGTGTAGCCGTACCTAACTGTCTGAGAAATATACATGAGTTTAGTTGCTAGTTATAAAGAACCAACAATTAAAATGACCAGTCCTTACTCACTAATCTGGACTATCATAAATGGGGGCCATTGCTTCATTCATGAGAGTTACCCAAGATGCAGATGAAGGAAGCTAATTTCCTGCTTTTCCATGCAAAGCAGTACTCCTCTTGTATAAGACCAGCTTTGTTGTGCGGTTTAGTATGTTAGGGTATGTCTACACTACCCTCCTAGTTCGAACTAGGAGGGTAATGTAGGCATACCGCACTTGCAAATGAAGTCCGGGATTTGAATTTCCCGGGCTTCATTTGCAAGTGCGGTATGCCTACATTACCCTCCTAGTTCGAACTAGGAGGGTAATGTAGGCATACCGCACTTGCAAATGAAGTCCGGGATTTGAATTTCCCGGGCTTCATTTGCAAGTGCGGTATGCCTACATTACCCTCCTAGTTCGAACTAGGAGGGTAATGTAGGCATACCGCACTTGCAAATGAAGTCCGGGATTTGAATTTCCCGGGCTTCATTTGCAAGTGCGGTATGCCTACATTACCCCGCTAGTTTGAACTAGCGGGGTAGTGTAGACATACCCTTAGACTCTACCTGCAGCCTTTATTGACTGACCATAGATAAATCATAGACTTCAGATGACTTCAAATACCTAGAAAGGTATTTAATTGTAGGATATTAATGTGGAAATACATCTGTAGCCTAAAGTGAGGCCCCAGAATTTGTATTTAGGGCCAAAATCAGTAGCCAGATTTTTTATTCTTCTTCTTCTCCCTACTCCCACTGAAGACCTGAGCACTCACAGCTCCCTCTGTCTTCAGTGGGAACTTGACTTCAGAGCACTTCTGAAGATCAAGCCACTTATTTAGGTCCTATCTATGGATTCAGGTGCCCATCTTTAGACATTGACACTTTCAGCCATTGGCCAGTGTGTGTAGAAATATGTATAATCCTATTTAAATCCTGGGGAATTCAGTAGCTGCCATACTGTATCAGCATTTGTTAGCTCTGGGGCTGATGTGATGAATGCACAATTTGCTTTTCTTATCCGGAAACCACTTTGGCTTCTCTAGCTGAGTGGAAATGGAAGATAGGGTCGCAGTCTGACATGCAGAGCAGGGGGGTTTGACACTTCACGGTAGTGCGCAGAGAAGTTATCAACTGACAATGTGCCTCCCTCCCCTAATTATAGCAGCAGCTACTCCTATAAACACACATGTAAAACCCTCTTACACTCCAATGTATTGTAAAGCTAGGCAGGAGGCAGATGCTGGAATTTAGCTTAATGAGATTGGGGATGTCTCTTTCCAGAATAGCAGAGCCATCGCAGAGAAATCCATTCAGTATACACGGATGCCATATCCACTCCATTCTGTATTTGTCTGGTGTAGGAGCTACCCCCGGGCGGTGGGATGCAATGTTGTCTGGGTCTAGAGCTAGACATTGTCAGTTTATGCACGGAGGTGAAAGAGGAGAGGGTGTGAGAAGGATGCAGGCCACGCATCAGTGCTTTTCTCATAACTTCACCATCACATGTGGTCAGCCTGCCGCTGCTTCTCCAGCACCAGCCGCAAATTAGCTCCCGTTGACTGGAATGATGCCTTTGCTCCACAGGAAGCTTGTTACAGGGGAAAAGAGCAAGGAGAGTGTTAAAGACTACCTGCCTGATATATGATCCAGCAGGGGATTAAGGAAATGCCTGGAAAAGCCTCTGGAAATTACATCCCATGGAGGGCAGGGGAATTTTTTTGGTTTTGGTGTTAGTATCTAAACTGTGCAAGGACCTGAAATATACTTGGGCTTGGCATCTGTTCTCCCCTGAGCTGGTGAGCTAGCCCACAGGTTCACAGAACCCCTGTATGCTTGCTTTTCCTGGCTACAGCTTTTAGAGTGGAGGGCTTCTGTTTGTTTCTGTGTTTGTTATTGTGTTTCAAGGGTGGCGGTCTTATGAGTTGTAGTGGTTTATTTTTTTAATGGCCCATAAAATTCCTACTTTGCTTTTCTGACCCTGCACTTTTTGACCCCCTATTGCTGGCACCAGTTCTGAGGGGATCTCTGCTACTCTGGCTCTGTGGTTAATTTACTTCTTTGTAATTGACCTTCTTGACAGGAGAGAGGAAGAGAAGGGGTGGGCGGGAGAAAAAAAGGGGAAGAGATCATGAGAAGAGGAGTTTTTTTAACAGGATGCATTTTCCCTATCTGTAATGCTCTAACCATACACAGCAGACCCTTCAGTGGGAGGAGCACACCCATAAGGTCTTATCACAAGGCCAGGACACTCGCACTCTACTTACTTTATTTATTTACTTGTAAATGTCCCAGCTGCTTCTGATGCTTTTGAAAAAGTGCTTTTCCCTGTTTGTGCTTTGCTCACCTACGCGACTCCAACCTCACAATATCTCCATTTATGCTGCCAGATTTCACCCCCTTGTTGGACTGCTGAAAGTGCATTTCAGTGGGAGTTGGGGGTGAGCGGCCGACTATGTCCATCTAAAGTGCATGTGTACCAGCAAATATGGGTTTGAACAAATGTTTACAGCTGGAGTGTAAACAGAAATTCAGGTTTGCAAAGCGTGCTCTGCAGCACTGACTCCCTGCATGGTTTCCTTGTCAGATTTTAGTACCATGTGTAGTCTACAGGTATAACCCACAAACCTAGTGGGTGTGGTTCGTTGTCCCATGTAGTGGCACTTAGACCACTTACAGCGAGAGATCAGAGCAAGTGAGCTCAACAGCCTAAGC